TTCCAAAAACTGGGCCCAGCAAAACCAACACAGAGGGTGTGGCCTGACATCCTTGAGGAGCAGGAGAGCAGCTTGTTCCAACAAGGGACATTAGGGCACATTGCAGGAATGAGCCAGTTGCTGAGCCCCCTTTATGTGCACAAACCCTTTCTGACCTAGAGCAAATATTTGGTAATTCCATGGGAGRTGGAGAAGCTTCATTTGTGGTGATGAGAATTTTGTGGGTCTATAGATGTTAGTCTTGGGCACTGCTGGTCTTTTGTGGGCACATCCCTAAAAGCTTTAGATGAGGAGAACTATTTTCTTCCTGGGTGTGATTTTTATTGCCTTCAGTAACAATGGGGCAGGAACAAATTGGGCTTTTCTAGTAAAAAAAAATGAAGTTTACCGGGAAGAGAAGTCCTGATTGTAGGTCTCTGAAACCAAAAGAAAGCTTCAAAATGAGACTCCTGATTGAGGGAAAATAGCAGGATTGAAGCATTAGTAGTAACATCCCACCATACTCTAGCTCATGCCAAAAGAATCCTTTCATTTAAAGGGCTTTTAGCTTGATTATTTTCTTTGATGCAGCAGCCTCTTAGGCAGCAATTTTGTGCATATGCACATGTGCGTACGTGTGCACACGTGTGACTTGGGTTGTTATTTTCTAGTCTGAATGTGCCAGTACTCTTTGACTGGGAGTAATAATTTTTGTGATTTCAGGTTCCTGCCACTGCGGAAAGTGCATCTGTTCACCCCAGGAGTGGTACATTTCGGGTGATTTCTGTGAATGYGATGACAGAGATTGTGACAAACACGACGGTCTCATTTGCACAGGTGCGGTGCAGGCTGACACTTAATTGCTTYGGGAAACAAACTGAGTTGATGGGAATTGTGTCAGACAAAGCCCAGCTTCTTCTTTCCCCACTGACGGAGGAAGCRCATTTGCTGGTTATTCAAACCTGCTGAAATTGTTTCTTCATGCAGCGTGATAATCAACTTAAGGTTTCAAAACAACAGTTAAAAGCCTGAGTATGAATTTAAATCAGTAAGGCAGCTATGGAATCCRTCAATAATTCTCACTGTAATGGACTACAAGTTAGTGTTTTTTGGAAATGACATGGTGTCAGCATTATGATCATGAGGTTTCCTCAGCCTTTGCTCTTCGTCTTTTACTGGATATTCCATGTGTGTAATGCCTTTAAGTTACAGACAAAATTCACTTGTCTGATGATCCCTGGTGGGTTAGGGGCACAGTTGTGTGGGTTAAGGAGCTTCCTGGCAATCAGACAGTTGTCAGTGGGAGGCTGAGATACCTGATAGCTTTTCTTACGCTGTGTTGGTAAATGATTCAAGCAGCTTCACCTTAACATTGTCTGAATATGCAGGTGGCAGATGTCGATAGGAATGGGAGGGCTGCCAGCAAMCCCTCATGACAAACATAGTGACAAGAAGCAGCAAGGGAATTGCTAAATTAACTCACTGGCTCCTTCCTGTTGCAAATCTTAATTTTAGAAAATCTTTGCTGAGCAATTATTAGATGTGGAAGAAATCTGCAAGCCAATTAGAGTGAGAGYGGGAAGGCTGACACTAGTAAATTGTGTCTTCCAGCTAGCCCTGTTAGCAAGGGTCATTTTCTGGAGGCAAGTAGCCAGTATAGCAGCAACAGGAACCTCATCTGCAGCTCTAATGGCTAATCATGGATCTTCATAAAGTCAGAAGGAAGAGAAGCTTGCATAGAAACAAAGGCTTTAGAGGTCTCAAGCTGAGCATCGAAGAGTCATAATAAATATTTAAATAAAATTAATATATGAGTCTTGGTATTAAATGTTTCCCTGCTGCAAAACAGGGCCAACACATTTTTCACTTAATAGAGAGTATGAGATAAGATTTATTTGTATAGCACTTCTGAGAATTTAAGTTTAAAGTTTTTCATGTTCAAAGAGATAATTTTATTGCTCTTCTGTGGGTAGCTTTTAATGACTTTTTCTTTGTGAATAATGGTTAAAAGTAATCTTGTTTTTCTTTGTACCTGGAGGCACAGTGTGAACACTAAGCCTCACCAGCTGGGCACAAACACTGGTGTGCACAATTTCACTATACCATACACTGTTACAATATTTGCAATACTGCTGATAGAATTATTGAGAACACGCTATTAATGCCTTGTAAGTATAGATGTGGGGTGGCTTCTTAATGCAATGGTACAGTAATTGCTTCCTTCCAAAAGAAAAAGGGGCAGGGGAGCAATAAAGGAAMAAGGCAGCTACTTTAGCATGGCTTTTTACTTCCCATAAAACACATTTTAATCTAGTACATTTCAATTATGATAATTGTCCTTTATTCATTCTATTCTAGGTAACGGTGTTTGTAGCTGTGGAAACTGTGAGTGCTGGGAAGGATGGAATGGAAATGCTTGTGAAATCTGGCTGGGGAGAGAATACCCTTAATGAAGGGCCTCAAAGATTGAGGCGGTTTTTTTGTTTATTTTTCTTTAGGCTGCTAGAACATTTAATTTCAGAAGTGCTCAGTGTGTGGGTGTGGGTACTCGTGAATGCACACATAGATGGTTGCAAATACCTTAGAACACATTTGAGGACCTGCTCCTTAAAGAAATGCAWCAGAAAACTAAAAAAAGGAAGCAGGACAGCCCAAATTCTAGCGGSTAAAGTCATAAAATACTGGCCCTATGAAACTTCTCCAGAATTTTTTGTAAATTCAGCAGAACCGATATTATACCTATAAAGATTACTTCTTTGAGCAACCTTAAAAAAGGTTTTAAGGCTTTTTAAAATATTATTTACTTTGTTGTCACCTCTCCTCACCAGTATGCAATACACCTGTAGAAGAGTAGAGCTAGTTGAATATTTGTCAGATAATTAGTTTGATTTATTTTATGATGTTTGAAAAATACATTATTTTGCCCTTTCTTTCTAACAATCTGGATTATGCACCAGCTCATAAATTGAGAGAAACTGTCAAGAAGCCTATAAAAATATTAATGATTTTTTATTTGGTCAAATAATTGTGCAACTGAAGTCCAATTACATGACGTTCATAGACTGAAGATCCAAAATCTTTGAATAGGTCCTTTTCCACAAGAGAACCTCTAGCTTCTGAGGTTAATGTGTCAGTAAGTTGGTTATCTAATCTACATACTACAATACTTTCAAATGCATAACCTATAGAAACATAAGGAATGAAGCTAATAAAGATTTAAAAGTATGTTTGCCTATTCTGCGTATGTATTCTGCAACTCACATACTTCTGTTGTACTGCTCTATGTATCTACAGTTTCCTCCTCGATGTAAGGCAAATGGAAATGTTTTTATATTAATAACTTGTGGGATGAAAATTCTGTCTACTCTTAGAAATCACTATTTGGGACAGATTGCCCTATCATACATGGAATTCATAAAATTTAACTGCTTTTATATAAGTGGGGAATCTGAAGGTCAAATGATTTGAAAAATCATCAGTGCTCTGCGGTAGCTCGGTCTCAGCCAAAGATGTTAGGATAACATCAGAATGTAATTAAAGTTTTAATATAGTAAATACAAACAAAGCAGTGGTATGAACAAAAATTTTATTTTTATTTTCCAATGGTGAAATGCTGCTCAGTGTGAAATTCACATTGAGTTATGAATGATGCACAACTATTGGGACTTCCCTAACTTATTTACATATGAGTCTCTTATTTTTTTGTACATGTAGATTTGGCAGCCCTTGAGTTCTTTAGAGCAAAAAAAAAAAAGAAATATACATTTTAGTTTCAAAAGTGTTTACATTTTGTGAAACCATGTTTGAGCAAGAAATTGATTAAATGCCTCAAAAATACTTATTTTAGATACCAAACTTTAACATTGTGGTTTAGGTGCCAAGGTCCTGATTTTTGAAAAGGTACATGACTCAGAAATAATGGAACTATGTATTAACCAAAAAAATGCATTTCCATTATTAATCTAGAAATTAATTTTCTTTTAGAAAGGACAGTTTTGAAATAGGAAAATACAATGGCACAGAACATGTATGAGAATGCAAAATYTGAACCTCTCCATTATTCCCCCATCCCCTATAGCTTGCTCTTTAAGTACCACTTTTTTTCCCCCTTAACCTGGATTCTTTCTTTCTAAAAATGCCGCTTGTGAAGCCCATGTTCTCAGGGAGCATAAATTACCAAACATCCAACTTACATATAAGCTATGCAGATAAATAACTAGACATACATCCCAAAGCTGCTAGCTACTCTTATCAGATAACCAAAATATCAGGCAGAGTTCTAAACTGCATTCATTAAGAATGTTCAAATTAAAATTCATCCTGAAATTTTAATTTATATTTTACACTTAAAACCCTTAAACTCCWTGGAGCTCAACAGGAATATTTTGTTAAGTTTTATCATATATGCATTTTGCCAAGCTTAGTGCCTGGAGAGCAGGGCACTTTTATTTATTAACTTTTATTTATAGTTATGAATAACGAATACCGCTGACCACAATAATCTTATAATCACTGGGTTTTTGCATATACATTCATCTGCTGAATCAGAGTGTAAACAACGAAGGATTTAAAGTTCTCCTTGCTTTCCTTCCATTTGTATTTAGTCCTGTATTAAGAAAACACTAGATAATCAAAGCCATTATCTGGTGTCAGTATATGCTTTTGACTTGTTTGATAACAGATTTATACATACTGTAGATCAGCTGTGGTATTTCAGGTACTCATTCATATATTAAAGAACAATTCTTTAAGTGGTTGCAGTGTCATATTTGATGCATTTTACTTTGTAATTTGCTTTAATTTTATGTACTTTAAGAATGTAAAGTAATTTTTATTTCTACTTTGATTTTTTTCYTAAACCAATCAACTCTAACCTTTTGACTATTGGATGAATTACATAGCCATAGCATTTCAAAAAGTGTTATTCAAGTTGTTTGTTAACTTACATATAGAAAAAAATCGGAATATCTAGAACAGCAACTCTCAGTGGTTTATTAAAATGCAATTATCAAACAAAATGGTGCTATTACTATAAACCTTAAAGTGTTAACTAAGACTACTGAAAATGTAATGTGCACATGAATTCTTTTCCAATTTTTATACTGTTTTCTATAATGTTGCTTTGAACATTTCCCCTGCTCTCCATGCTGAGGTAACTGGCGGTGTAACACCCAGCGTATCTGTTTTGTGGCTCATTTCCTCTCTAGAAAAATGAAAAAAATCAGAAGGAACAAGATTATTATTCCACATATGTGAATATAATAGCTGTATTAATAAATTGTTATACCTCATTCCCTGTGATGGGAATTCCAAAGAAGTAAACTGCAARTGCAGGAAGAGGCATAAGGAAGTGAAACTCACTGCTTGATTCTCCTGCTTCCAGGCCTGTGGCAAAAGGCAAAACCACATTGGATAAATGGGGATTTTGTACTGTTAGATTAGATGATAAACCTTAACTAACAAAAAGGTACTATAGCCTTGTTTTCTTCTTATGAGAGAAAGAACTCAGTCCACAAGTGTGCCAATGCTTCTACAACAGACTTGCAGGATTATGCCTGTTGTGTATAACGTATCTGTAATATCACATATAAAAAACCTGTGGATTGATTTGCTTCTATAAATTCTTCTATTCTTCTATTGCTTCTAAAACAGGACCTGCTTGTGGTCCTGTTTTCTAACCCTGGCTTGACTCTTTCTTAGAAACACAGATGCATTTAATCATGCACTTTTTCTCGCTTTTCTGAACATTGCCCTTGCTTCTTTGCAGAATGGTATCTCACTTTGTAGCTAAGTGATAAAGCTAAATGATACCGGGATGAAGAAGGCTAAGTTGAATATTTCTGTGATTAGGTAATAGAACAAAAATTTTATTACATCTTTAGAAATAAGTCATAGCATTTGCATTAGTCATCACACAAAAAAATCCCATTATTAAACATTTTAAGAATGCATTGCACAACATACGAATTTATCTAAAGGGCCATTTAAAACAAAGAGAACCTTCTTATTTAGTCTAATTTTGCTACCATTCCCATTTGAATGTAGCTGAATAATGTCTTCTTTATACCAATAAACAGATTGATCATCATGATACACTTTTACTGCATGGACCAAACTGCCTGCTTTCATACCTCATTGCTTAAACTTGTTTTAAAACCAAGACAAAAAGTTTCCCTATAAATATATATGTAAAGCCAGGGTTCTTAGTATTGTTTCAGGTATATACCATAGTCAAAGTGAATTGCTTTACTTTATATCTGGTGGAGGGGAGGGGCAGGGAGGGGTTTATTAAGAACCAATATTTATGAAAATGTAGTATATTAAAAACTCAATTGAGAATGGCTAAAACCCCCAGCAAATTAAGCAAAAGCTCTCTTATGTGAACTAAAAAGCAGTTACAAGTGGCTAGAGCCCCTTCTATAGGCTCTATTGTGTGAGCAATCTCATAAGGATTCTTGTGTATTTATAAAATTTTTGAAGTACAGCAAAATGGTGCTTTGTTGAAGTAGTTCATATCTCCTCAAAACTGGATCTCTAAAACTGTGCAGGTGTGACTGATTTTGCCAAATAGAACTGTAGCTGAAACATAGATTAAAAAAAGAGAAAATGAGAGAATGACTTAGTGCAGTGTTAACATATAAAATGGTAAAATGAGGTTAGATTGCAGWGTGAACAGTCTCTCAGAGATTAGAGAAAACCCAGAAGAACAAAATACAAAGCAAGCATGCAAAAGACCTGGAACGTTGCAGATTCACGGACAGCTGCACATGTAAGTACAAAAACCCCAATCTGTAAACACAAATTGATTCCATCAGGTTTACTATACAGTACTTTAGTAGTAACAGACAGTTGAAAACAGCTTTCACTTAACAGCAAAATTAATTTTAGAGGGAAGAAAATGGTGGTCTCGTCCTGGAGAACAGCAAGAGAGGTATTATATTAAGGAGCTGAAATTTTCTTTGGCATGGTAAAGGGGGAGAACTGAGTTTGCCAACCTATTTACATGAAGTTTCACCATCCTGTGGCCAGTGCAAYGATGCTTTGCACAGTCTACTTCTTACATAAACTTTTTTTGTTGGTTTCCAGTATGCCTTCATATAAATGCTTTATTCATCATGTTGAATCTGTGTATACAACAAATAAGAATAAACASAAACTGTACAATGCAGACAAACTCTTTGCATATATGCATGTAAATTTGTAACACTGACCAACAGTTCTTTGACAGACACAACCTACAACATGCAGTTAGTTCGTCCTTGCCATACTCTTCCCATGCAACAGATGAGACAAGACAAAATTAAAGGGAGGAAACAAAGCACAAAGATACCCTTGTTATGTTGAAACAGATTGTAGAAAAAAAAAAAGGAGGACATTGATTCATTGTATTAAACAGTCATATGAATTTAGCCCACAGAAACAAAAACAGAAATCAAAAATAAAATTTAAATTAAAAAAAAGGCAGCTTTATTTCCAGTATGTACTRACTGCTTAAAGAAATTAAATCTGGCCTTAATCATAGCCTCCCAAACTGGTTCATGTTTAGGTTCATGTTTCATAGTTATTCAGGATCCAAAGGTTAGTGTTGAAAAAATGCTTACATAGGATCAGGCAATGAAGCTGATCCTYCTTGCATGACTCAGCCAGGTTTCCAGCCCTGTCTCTCCTCAGGCTCTTACACTGGGTGAGTAAAAAGACAGCTGAATGGGACATGAACTCATGTATTCCCTGCTCACAAATCAGGTGTGAGAGAGTGTAGCCTTCAGCTG